AACCTTGGCTTTGTCAGCCTCAGCAGCCGTCTGAGTGAATAAAAGCCTCTAGCTCCAGTGGGCCAGAAGCAGGAGGCGGAGCTGGACCCCAGTGTTGAGGGGCTTTCACCCAGCCCCTAGAGCCTGGCACTTTGAACTTGGACTTAAAGCCTCTGAATTGTAAGAATAAACTCCTGTTTGTTAAGGCCATCCCATTTGTGGTATATTTCTTGTCAGAGTGGTACTAGGTAACCAGAACAGTTTAGTTTTGTGATATTAATGATATCATTCAGTAATACCCACATTCTGTGGGATCACCTTTCTTTGGAATGGGTACAAATATGGATCTCTTCCAGTCAGTTGGCCAGGTAGTTGTCTTCCAAATCTCTTGGCATAGCCGAGTGAGTGCGTGCAGCACAGCATCTGTTTGTTGAAACATCTCGATGGATATTCTGTCAATTCCTTGAGCCTTTTTTTCCAATTCCTTCAGAGCAGCTTTGATTTCTTTCTTTAATACCATTGGTTCTTGATCATGTGCCACATCCTGAAACAGATGAACATCGACCACTTCTTTTTGGTACAGTGACTCTGTGTATTCCTTCCATCTTCTTTTGATGTTTCCTTCATCATTTAATATTTTGTCCATAGAATCTTTCAGTGTTGTATCTTGAGGCTCAAATTTTTTCTTCAGTTCTTTCAGCTTGAGAAATGCTGAGCATGTTCTTCCCTTTTGGTTTTCTAACTCCACGTCTTTGCACATTTCATTATAATTATTGGTTTTGTCTTCTCAAGCTGCTCTTTGAAATCTTCTGTTCAGCTCTTGTCATTTTTTCCATTTGCTTTAGCTACTCTCTGCTCAAGGGCAAGTTTCAGAGTCTCTTCTGACATCCATTTTTGTTTTTTCTTCCTTTCCTGTCTTTTTAATGACCTTTTGTTTTCTTCATGGATGATGTTCTTAAAGTCATCCCACAGTTCCTCTGTTTTTCGGTCATTGGTGTTCAATGCATCAAGTCTATTCTTTAGATGGTCTCTAAATCAGGAGGGATATAATCAAGGTCATATTTTGGCTCTTGTGGACTTGCTATAATTGTCTTCAACTTCAAGTTGAACTTGTATATGAGCAGTTGATGGTCTGCTCCACAGTCAGTTCCTGGTCTTGTTTTGGCTGATGATATTGAGCATTTCCATCACCTGTTGCCACAGAGGTAGTCAGTCGTCTGATTCCTGTGTATTCCGCCTGGCGAAGTCCACATGTATAGCCATCATTTGTGTTGTTGAAAAAATGTTTTTGCAATGAATAAGTCGTTGGTCTTGCAAAATTCTATCATGCGATCTCCAGCATTATTTCTGTCACCAAGGCCATATTTTCCAACTACTGGTGGTTCTTCTTTATTTCCAACTTTTGCATACCAGTCACCAGTGATAATGAACACATCTTGATTGCATGTTTGGTCAATTTCAGACTGCAGAAGTTGATAAAAAATCTTCAATTTCATCATCTTTGGCTTTGGTGGTTGGTGCATAAATTTGAATAATAGTCGTATCAACTGGTCTTCCTTGAGGCGTATGGATATTATCCTATCACTGACAGTATTGTACTTCAGGATAGATCTTGAAACATTCTTTGTGATGATGAATGCCATGCCATTCCTCATCAATTTGTCAATCCTGGCATAGTAGATCATAGGATTGTAGATTCCAAATGGCCAAAACCAGTCCACTTCAGCTGACTAATGCTTAGGATATTGATCTTTATGCATTCTATTTCATTTTTGACAACTTCCAGTTTTCCTAGATTCATACTTCATACCTTCCTTCCATGTTCTGATTATTAATGGATGTTTGCAGCTGTTTTTTCTCATCTTGAGTCATGCCGCATCAGCAAATGGAGGTCCTGAAAGCTTTACTCTATCCACATATTAAAGTCTGCTCTACTCTGAGGAGGCAGCTCTTCCCCTGTTATATCTTGAGTGCTCTCTGACCTGAGGGACCTGTCTTCTGACACTGTACTGGACAATGTTTTAGGGCTAGTCATCATCAATTTTCAAGTAATATATCAGTGTTTCACTGCTACTCGTGAGGTTTGCTTTACTAGGTTACTAAAATATCAAAGGTTTCCCTTTAGTACATGTAACATGTTTTTAAACAAATAATATGCACCTTATATGTTTTTTTTTGCAAACCTCCCAACCCCTTGAGTGTTTGTTTCCTGTGTATGCTATGTACATTTTATGCATGTGCAGGTTATTTACATGGACATGTTATATATGAAAATACGGTATTTTTCTGCTTATGTTAGTTTTTTCTGGTTTGATGAATTGCTCTTAAAGTTACTAAATTTCATTTAACTTACGTCTATAAAAGTAGAGAAAATAATAACCACAGATAGTTCTGGTGAAATTAAATCACTGATGTATATACCTACTAGGAAATAGTAAGCCCTTGGTGAGTGATAGCAGCTATAGCAAGAGACTTACGCTGTAGTGATTTAAGAATACAGATTTCCTTGTCACAAAGACTGGAGTTTGGATTCTGGTTTCCCACTTATCAGCTCTGTGAACTTAGGCATGATACTTTAATTTCTGTGTAAAATGGGATATAATACATATATCATACGCTGTAATGTTTAGAAAGCACCTAATACAGTATCAAGGAGCCATGGTCATGCATTGGTTAAGGGCTTGGCTGCTAACTGGAAAGATCAGTGGTCCAAACCCACTAGCCATTCTGCAGGAGACAGATGTGGCAATCTGCTTCCTTAAAGATTACAGCCTTGGAAACCCTATGGGACAGATTTACTCTGTCTGATAGCATTGCTATGAGTTGGAATCAACTCACTGGCAATGGGTAATACTGTGCCAGACATATAACAAACACTCAAGAAATGGCTTTGTATGTTGTTGTTATAGAAGTAATCATATACTGAGCATCCATTATATCCTTGTTTTATTGCAGGACTCCAGATGATAACGTTTTTGGTTCTGAAATTTCACATTCATATCTACATTTACTAAAGGGCTACTTTATTTTAATGAGGTGCTCTATGTAATTTTTATAGGCTGGATCATGGAAGCTAACCCTGACACAGAAATTTAAAACCAGTCAGATTTCACTGAGCCAAAATGTAGCCAAGAATCAAGGAGTGAGCAAAAGTAAATAAACAAAAACAAAATCTTTAAGTGGCCAGAGGTGCCACACATAAAAAGTTCCATGTATGTACTTTACTCATGGAAGTATCCCTCAAGTTCTCATTTAGTGTCTGTCCCATCTCTGTTGCTGGTAGCTGACTGATGGGGGTCAGTGTCAGACAATTTTGGTTTCCTTATCTGTAAAATGAAGGAATTAATGAATCGATTACTAAAAATTTATTCATTCCAGAAATGCTTCAACTTCCTATGTATAGTGTCTGGTACTTATTCATAAGTTCTTTTCATACTGTTATTTTAAGAAAAAATAAGGGGAGAGAGGAAGGAAGGAAGGAAAGAAGAAAAACATAATTTCTTCTAAAGTGCAGGACCTATGCACAGGATTCACTATATCAAACTCTGTGATGAGGAATACCTGTCCAACATGAAGGACCAATATGAGAACAATTATCATTTCAGTGGAATAACTGAAGTAAATTACAAGTATAAATAAAGAGTAAATGATGTTGTGGAAATGACAGCTACCAGAAGAAATGTCACAGAAAAGTTTTGATAGACTAGTTATGCTGCAGTTACTGATTAACCCCCAAGAGTCAATGCTTGAACATTGTGATGGTACATATCTAACATTGGTCAGCAGTGACTCTGCTCTACGTAGTCACTCAGGGATGCAAGCTGATAGATGTTCTGATTTTTTTCTTAGCCTTCATGGTTGTAACAGAGGAGGAAGAGAGAAAGGAGCTTGAAGTTTGCCCACCAGCCTTTAGGTGTGTAGGTATTTCCTGGCCCAGAAATGACAGATGTTATTTCCACTTGTGTCTGTTATTCAGAATTAATAATGTGGCTCCACCTAACTACAAGAGAGTAGGGAATATAAGAGAACTGTAGATATTTGGTGAATGTAAATGTTTCTGCCACATGGCATACAAGATGATTCTAAAAAGATTAATGGAAATTAATTTGGTGAATAAAGAAAGAAAAGATAAAGAAGAAACTTTCTCAAAAGTGAAAGCAGGAAGTTACCTCTAGAGTAAAGAAGTGGAGGTCAAGGAAGACATTAATGCCTGTATTCTAGTGTGCACCTAGAAGCTGGAACATAGTATATAAAGAGCTGAGAGCTGTAAATAAGCCCTGACGCAACTCTGTAGCCGAATCTGGTACTGATAACACAACATTATTTGTAATTCTAAACACTGATTAATTATATATATATATAATGAATTTAATAATTACTGTTTTGTGGAAAATGATAAAGTTCTATGCTATAGGAAGTTTGCTTTATGCCTAGGGATCCCTAAATGCTTAGCATGATTTTGTTTGTTTATATCCTGGTGGTACCTACCCAGAATACAATCACACTGCTTATACTTTGGGTAGTTGTACTCCTGAGTCCTTATCTTTTTACTTGAACTTTTATGGTTGTAACACATGACACAAAAGCCTTCAGTAGATTAACCTGTGAAGTACCACATGCAGATTATTAAAAATAGTACTTGCAGAGGTCACAAAAATAATATTATCTAAATACAAAGTTAACATTAATGGGGTGTGTATGAAATACAAGAAGTGTGCTGCTTTTTTTACATACATTAGCTCTGTTAAACTTTACAACAACTCAGTTACTTAGGTATTAATTTTGTGCCCATTTTAAAACTTTATCTATTTGTAAGCAATTAAATGAGATGGCTATTTTCAGTTTATACTTAAAAACAATTTGGTACTAGAAAAAATAAGTCATTTTTATATGTATCAGCTTTATATACCTGTCAATCATCAAATTAAAAGGTCCATTATGAATGTTAATGGTTTCTATAATAAAATAAGTATGCTAATAGGAACTGTGTTGCAATATTAACTTTTTTGTTTTTAGGGTTTGGACAGAGGAACCAAAGGCCAAATTTCCACTTTTATTTCAACTGTTAGCCAGAAGAAAGAAGCTGCTGAAAACAGAAGTTCACCAACACATTTTGTTCTCCCTAACATCAAGAATGGTAAAAAAAAAAAAGTTAATGATTTTTAATTATTAAAAATATACAGTAAGGTCTATATATCTTGGGCTAAACTATGTTATCAAATTATTAAAAAGTAGAATTTAAAATCTAATTTTTATTTTATCTTTTGAGAGAATACTGGCTTTTAGTTAGAAAATTTGTTAGACATTTAGTATATGCAATGTTCTGTTCTAGGAAAACATTCAAAAAAGTGTTAGTCCACAGACAGATGTCTAGTGTAGTAGTCCTTCTATAATTGAAATTTTCAAGCAAGTACCCCAGTGAGAAGCCCTCATAGTCCAGTGGTTAAAGCAGTGGGCTGCTAACCAGAAGGTTGGCTCTTCGAACTCACCAGCCACTCCTGGTCAAGAGATGAGACAGTCTGGTTCTGTAAAATTTATAGCCTTGGAAACCCTTTGGAGAATTTCTACTCTGTCATAGCGTTGCTATGAGTTGGAATCAACTTGTAAGCAGTGGGTTTAGTTTTTTAAATTTGGTTTACTCCCAGTGTATGTTTGTTATTTATAAGTTATATGCATGTGCTACTATACTAATATGTGCATTATAAAATACACAAAACTAGAAAAATTCAAAGGATGAGATAAAGATAAAACAAGCCATATTAAACATTTATTGAAAATAATGGTACAATAAAAAGTTTTATCTAATACACTTGTTGTTTTTAAAATAAATCACTAGTGGTACAGTGATTTTGAGGGTCTGGGTTTAAGTTCTGTTTTGTTCAGTCCATATTTATAGTGGCTGTTGTTGCCAAAAAAAAGATGTATCACGATTGAAGCATTTTATTGGCTGGGGTTATTGTCAAGATAGTACATTTCTAGCCCATCCATAAATTTTGCTATGGCTTTGTTAAAATTTGACTTGAAAATTTTGATCATCCCTGTTGTTGGTTATTCTTTCAAACTAATTGGATATAGTTAGTTCAAAACCAATTGTTCAGAATAGTTCAAAACCAGTTGAAAGCTTCACTTAGAAGGTTTTATTTCCAGATTTCATAAATTTGCTAACAAAGGCATTTTTGTAGGTAATACCTTTTAATTGTCTTTTCAGCCATAAAGTTCACATAATGATGGAAACATTTCTAAACATCCATTTTCAGAATGCTTTCTTCACAGCTTGAATTTCTTTGGAAAAACAGTTACTTTCTTCCATTGTTAGACTATGTGTATTTTTTATTTCAGAACTGCCTGCTAGGTTGCACACGAATGAAACCATTTATATAAAAGGTCATGAAATTTGCAATGCTTGTCTTTTTGTACAAGAAAAAATTATGTAACTCATCTTTTTTGGGGGTATTTTTTTTTTTTTTTAAATTTTCATTGTGATTTGGGTGAAAGTTTACCGAGCAAATTCATCTTCCACACAGCAGTTCACATATACTTTGTCTCATGACATTG